AAGCTACCAAAATACTGACTAAACTTACTGCAATACAAACAAGCAAGAGGAAAAAATAAAATAAAATCTATTAGCTTTTTCAAGCTACATGTTTTATAAGGTTACCGCTATAAACCTAATATCCTAGTCAAAACAAGCCTTAGAACATGAGAATAGGGCAAATCCCTCACTGTATTGATGGATTTTAATAGGAAAGCTTTTCTCAGGCATTCAGGCTCTACGTTCAAGATGCAGACATCATAAAAGCAGCAATGGAGTAGTAAACAGCATAAACCCATCACTTAAAATCATTTTTCCAGGTTTCAGTCTCTTACATGTTCCTATCACTACCACCTGAGCAGCTTTCACATTCAGTCCGTAATCTTCAGGTTTGGGGAATAACAATTCTCAAGTTCTTAACTGAATTTCAGAGTGGCATGAAATAGAGGCATCTGATCAGTGGAGAAATGCTCTGCCGCTGGCCTGCAGTGATAACAATGCTGAAAAGGCAGTTCTTTACAGTTTGCACAACAGAAGGTAACCACTGGCTCCTGAACATGCTGTTACACAGCTTTATTATCAAAGCAAAAAATTAACTGCATCACAGTTTTCAGAAGTTTGCTATATAATTTCATCATAACTAATGGAGTATTTCCACTTCCTGTTGCTGTCAGACCAATATCCTCATGCATTTCCACATTCTCCATTCTGAAGCAGTAAGTTTAACACCAACAAGATGTGTTCTTTCTTCAGACTATCTCATTTATCTTCTGCTGTGTGCTAAATGATACCATATGTAATTCCAAAGCAATACTATACTTCAAAAACACTCTTAAGACAAAAAATAGAACAGTAATGTATCTAAAACTACTTTAGCAGTAAATCGTTTTCTTACCTGCAGTAAATAAACTCTAATCATGTAGATAAAACTCAGACCCAAAGTTACAATCCATCGCACTGCAGTATATGGAGTAGATTTGTCTAACCAGGATTGGTAGATCTAGGAGGAAATATAAAGTGTAGATCTGTAAAATACATGATGCACAATGAATGAGGTTTATTACAGGGTAGCATTAGACATAGTAAGCATTTGTGAAGAGTATTTTGGGAAGGAGAGTAATGTGAAACACTTGTATTGTTTATTACAAATAAACTGAATTAAACATAAACATACTTACAAGCATTTGAAAAGTTTGGTATTTTTACAAAGGAAAACAAATTCTGAGTGTCTGAAGCATCATAAAGAAATTTAAATTTTCAGTTTTTTATGCAAGTTTACTTTCCTTAAGATGTATACAACATGAAATTTGAAGTCACTACTCATTTTTGACAGTAACACTGTACATTTTCACTGTGCAGTGTCACATATATGCACATTAAATATTCCATGAAGCTACCTATTATAGTATTTCTCTCTTTATAAAAAACTTCAAAGGAAATTTTTCATACAGATTTTAGTATTTCAACAACTCTTCCAAACAGTAATGAGTTTAAGAAGGTACATTGAGACCTGCTTCTAAGGGAGTCAGAAAAACCCTAGAGAAAACCAACCTGTCCAAGTCTTGAGAAAAACCTATAGACCACAGAAGGCTTTCCATGTACAGACTCACCAATACTGTCCCCTTCTGACATGGTTGCTGTGGAAACAAAACAGGATATATAGGTAACACTTAAAATAAAAATCTAGGCTCAGTGAAGCATTACAGTACATTATCTGAACCACCATTTACATATGATACTCTTTTGGATTGCCCTGTTTGAAATATTTTTTTTTAATAAAGTAGTCTCAAAAGAGGGGACATTTATTCCAAAAGAAATTAATTTCCAAAAGAAATTTTCAAGAAATCGAAGAACAGGTTATTTTACAAAAAGCAAGACAGGATCCAATCCATTTTAGGGAGGGAAAAGAAAAAAGTCCATACAGAAATGCAGGAATGAGCCTTGTTAGACATCTTCACCTTGATAAGGCAGGAGCTGAGTTATAACATCTAAGCATTGAGATATGAACTGCAGCACCACCCTCCTGTCACCTCAGTTTCTAAAGGCAAAGAACAAAACCAAAATAAGTATTTTTTTTTTTTTAAAGCTGCCTAGGATTTTAAAATACTGAGTAACTAGATAGCACAGAAGTTTAAGTTCAGGACTCTGTACAGCAGTGGTTACAGACAAAAAACTCTCCCACAAGTACCTAAACCAAAACACTGCCCACTGCTAGAATTATTCAGTGAGTTTATGTATCTCTTGAGCATGAAGAGCTCAGCAGTCACAGAGAAGTTTCATGCATTAGCAAAACAGTATAGTAGAAGGGACGGAATTCTGAACTCAGGTAAAAACATTAACCAAGGGAATTATTTTTCAGTAAATGCTCTGCTACCAAATGAAGATCTTTATTTTTCTTTTCAGCTAAGCTCAACTAAGTTTTACAGTTCACTTCAAGATATAAAACAAATGAAATAAAAAAGATTCTAAACAGAAGCATTTTTGCCACATCACCAACAGCAATCCCTGACATTACTTCCTGGAGTCCTCATCTGTGGGTGGGACTACACAGCTCTGGGACAGTGGGAGTACTTTCAGCCCAGTATTAATAACTCAAGAGCGTCAGATGATAATAAAGACATATGGAACATCAGTAAATCAGAAAAATATAAATTATCTTAGATGCTGCAATACAGTGACTGTTACAAAAAATAATTTGAGACCTAGGACAATCTGGGCAGGCACAGAACCTTCCAGTTGCGTATTTTTTCTGTAAACATCTGAAAACTACATCCTATAGAATAATTAGTAGAAAAAAGGAGTCCTGTTACACTTCAAAAGATAAGGGGATTAATTATGAGGCTTCAGGAGCTGCAGTCCACTTTAATTCAAGCTACAGCTAAAAACTAAAAAAAAAAATCAAATAGAAATAATAAATATAGAGACCTTTTCAATACAGGCAAAAGAAAGTAATTATTATTCTCCCCGTTCATTGCACTGCAGAAGAAAGAAGTTACTAAGCATTATTAGCTGAACGTAATTTTGTGCTTTGTTTCGTTTTTTTTTTTCAAATGTCCTGAAGTATAAAGACATAACAAAAACATAGTAAATCTATTGATCATACAGCAATTCTCTAAAGATCACAAACAGAAAAAATCTCAAATTCTCAAAATTAATTTTACAGATACATCCATAGCAAATACGGGCTCTAAGCAGACCTAACATTACAATCTTGTAAATGTTAACCTATGCAAATCAAGTGAACAATCACGTCTGTAAGGCTACCGATGGCTTTATGATGGACCAGGCATTTTGCTTGGTGTAAAATATTACACTGTATGTGATTATGTGTGATTGTTTATTGTACATACAGTGTCTCCATAGCAGACAAAGAAATACAGCCAGCTAACAGCATCTTAATGGAAAGAAACCTCTCACTAGCTCCGTATATCACATGACATAATTTAGAATTTAATTTAGCATTTCTTATCACATCAAAACTTTACTGAAAGAACATCTGAAATTAGATGATTATGAAGAAAAGCAGTCTTTGGCATTGCTTTGAAGGTAGTTTACAGTTAAGAACACAAGTCAGACCTCATTGGTTTAAGGGAATAATAAAATCTAAGCAGTAGCAATTCTTCTCTCATCATGTAACACAAGACTTTACTGTTCAGCATAATGAGTTATGATAACCCTTCAGCCATTTCAGTAAAGCCAATTATCAGGAAGATATACACAGGTTAATATAATAAACAATTGAATAGTTTGCTACTAGCTGAATACAGACTGCTACTAAAACTAAACCATACTAAAACATTTTTCTCTGATGAAAAATACCAAGTAGGTGAATGTATGACCTTCCAACAATTACGCTTTTTACCACAATTGCTATAGTAATATCATTACAAATACCACCGCATAGCTGAGTGCTTAAAAATTAGGACCTGGGGCAATAAAGACATTTAACTTATGCCTCACATCATCGCATACAGAGAAGCACAGAATATTCAGATGCCGCACTGATCATGATAGAGATTTTTCTTAAATTTAAAATACAAATGAAGCACATAAACTAGCAAACCCACATTACTGCTCATACAAGCTGCCTCATCTCGTAGAGGAAACATCTGTGAAAAACAAGACACTAAAGCGATTTATTAACAGGGTAAACGGACAACCACTGGAAAGCGACCCATGAGTTACACAGGCTGGATTTTTATCCTAAGAAAGACGTTGCTTCATTTTAGCCGTTAGCCCAGTCTGTCAGACTCCCGCGCCCTGCCAGGCCCAAACGCCGCGGGACAGCAGCACCACAGGCCGCGGGGGGAAAAACCCGCCAAGCACACTAAGGGGTTTAGCCCAATCTCGGCACAAAGAGAAGAACGAGAGGCTCTGGCAGGGCCCACCGAGGCGAGGAGGGGCCGGGAGCAGCACCAGGGCAGCCCGCGAAAACGAGCCCCCCCGGCAGGCCGGCCCGGCCCGCGAGAGCGCTTAGGCCGCAGTCACCGAGGCCCCAAGAAGCCCCCGCGCTCCCGGAAGAAGCCCCTCGCCCGGGGACTGTCACCGCCTCGTCCCCCCGCTTCCCGCCCGCGGCCCCGGCGAGGCACCAGCTACTCACAGCCGCCCAAGCCGGGTCCTTCCTTCCGCTCCCCCCCTCCCCGGCTTCCACAAACCCAATATGGCGTCCCAGGCGGGGAGAAACTCACTTCCGCTGCCGGGGCAGAAAGGGCGGGATAAAGAACCGGGCACTGCCCCGCCATTGGCGTCTGGAAGTGGGGAGGAAGGGAGCGTGGCCGCGGCGCCGAGCGGTGAGGCAGGCAGCGGTGCGTATGGGGACGCGGGACCCGCCCGCAGCCACCGGGAACCGAGCGCGAAACTGCCCTGTGGCGCCGGTGCTCTGGGAGGGACCGGGGACGGTGGGGGGGGAACGCCCCGCCCCTCGCTCCCGCGCAGCCAATGAGAGCGAAGGGGGCGGTGCCCGCAGCTGGCGGCGGGAGCGGGGTTGAGGGGGAGGGCGCTGCCGCCATCTTCCCGCCCCGCCTCGCCTCGCCCCGCCTCGCCTGGAGCGGGGTGAGGACGCGGCACCCAGCGACCGCGAAGCGCGGTCTCTCGTTCGGGTGAAGAGACGCGGCGCCCGCGCTCCTGTGTCGGGGCTAAAGTAAATACAAGCTCTTTTCCTCTTGCTGGGTTGGCTTTATTTTCTGCGCGAGCGTTCCTGGTTTTTGCCGAGGTCGCGGAGTCGCTAGCTCTTCGGCTTCTGGCTGTTCCCGTGTAGTCTGTAGTACTTACGAGGTCTTTTAGGCGTTTAAGGACCTGGGTTCTTGTTGCCATGTAAAGTAAATATAAGTATTAAGCAAAGTAATATATTATCTTCACCCCAATGTTGTTTATACGAAATTTTAAAATAGGTATCCCTGAGTAAAATAAGCGCTTTTACTTTTGCGTTACTAATCAGTCAACATTCAGCCTAGTTTTTCTGCATTGTTTAAATAATTTCAGTTGTTTTTTCTTTTAACCGGATTGGCGGGGTGTACGCAGAGGCCTCCGGTGGGGCTTGTCAGAGGAGCTGGGGCCTATTGGGTGTATTTAGGGTTCTGACCTGAGGAGCATAAATTAATTGAGCTTGCAACAATCCCTTTAGTTTCCTCTTTTTTTTTTTTTTTTTTTTTCAAAATAGGGTCATCTGGGGTCATCTGTAGTCTTTTTTCATGTATAAGACAGAATAAGAAGGCAAACAGATCCCCCCTTTTTACACACTACAGTAAATAATCATGACCTGTAAAACTACTATAGCTGTAGAGCTCACAGACTGCTGTGAGAGTCAGATCCTTCATTCAAGAGCCTTAATAACTGTGATTCTGTTCTGTCCTATTAGGAAAAATTTATTTTAATGGATTTAGAATTTCTGCCCTATAAATACTTCATAAATCCCTTCAATTAGGGTCAGTGTTTAGATGCTAAGATAGTAAGTCTTAAGTCTAAAGCATATGAAGGTACTGACAATACATAGATATAAATATATTTATATAAATGAGAAAAATACGAGAAAGTTTCCACTTTTTACTTCAGTTGAAAACAAAGGTGGGCATTTGCCAGTTAAAAGGGGTTAGAAGTATTGGTTTATTTTCTAGGTCAGGACAAGGTGTTCTTTAAAGATGGGAGATACTCTGAGGGCAAGTTTGTATAGGGACAAGTTATGGAGAATTGATTTCAATACTGGGCATTGACAGGCGAGCCTGTAACTATTGCATACTTTTCTTAAAAAAAAAAAAGTCCTTATTCTCTTAAATTCTGATATGTAAATACATATCATAAGCAGCCAAACAAGTTGGCAGACTTCCATGATGTTTGTTGAAGAATTGTGTTTTTTCATGCTTTCTTCTTGGTCTCTCAGTTTAGGCTGTGTTAACTTTTAGTCACCTCAGAAAGTTAATCAAATGTATTAATGGTAGAAACCAGAAACATGTCATCAATTTTTGCTAATGGTCTTAGTCCTTCAAAGTTTCACGCATATACTGACTTGTGCTGATGTGAAGTACTGCACAAGATAAGGCTGAAGATGTTAAAGGAATTAAAGAATTTGAATACGCCATCTGTTAAAGAGGGACATCTCATGCATGATTTACCAAGGGAACATTTCAATGAATTTACTCTCCCCTAGTATCCTGAACAGAACAAAGTTCTTTTATTAAAGAACTGTCCCAGTAAGTTGCTCCAGAAAAGTATTTCTCCTATTTCTATTTATTCTTGTACAAGTCAGTCAGTGATTTCTCCACCTGCCTAACCTCAACAATCTGTAAGGCTGACAGGAAATAAAGGGTGACCACATGGAATACATTGTAGCCTATAAATAAATCAGGTAAATATTTGACAAAAAAATAGTTATCTGTTATTCTAAGACCACACATACATCAGGAAATTCACAGTACAGTACTTCTAGTTCTAAGCAGCTGATTTTTCAGGCTTAGACACAGAGGATTTGAATGAGTACATGCCATCAAAAAGCTGTTAAGGTGACTATGACATTCAAGTACTTTTTTTATATGTTCCTTAACCACAAATGAACATACTATGAATCTTTTCTTTTTAACACATCACTGTCAGTTTTAAAGACCAGAAGGATTATGATTCATTAGTTAAAATAAAGACTGAATGAGCACATTTCTAGTCTTCGTTAGACAGCATTAATAGTAAAAAAGTAGTTGTTAATTATACATTTCTAGGCTTTTAGAATGTCTTGTATTCATGTACTGTCAGTAAAATATCACTTATTGATGAATCTTAAATAGATAAAAAAATATTAAACCGTTTGACAGATTGTTGTTTCTTTCTGTATCTGACTTTCTTATCTACTTGGTTCAAGGGAGTGCTTACTCTGGCCAGTGTGTTTTTGGAAAGCAGCATGGACACAAAGTCTTGTAATATAAAGATGGTGGAAAATATGAAGGAGAGCTCAATGGAATGAGAGAAGGTAAGTTAGACTCTTTGAGTAAGCTTTGTTTAAAATCTACTTTGTCAAGACTGAACAGACCTATTTATGCTGCATAAATACAATTATTTAATGACTTGATTTTTCAAAGATGGCTTTGGTCTACTGAAAGCCAGGAAACTAAGTTCTCCTTCTTGCTTTTTGTTGACTTAAGCTGTGAAAATTAGTTTTTGTTTCAAAAATAAGAGCTATAAAGTGCTGAGTAATTATTGAGTAAGTATGTAAAAATAGTAATGTTTAGTAAAATTTAGAGATGGAAAAAAGCTGTTACTGTCTGTAATCTACAAGGAAGAAGGCCATACTGATAAGATTCAGAAAACAACTGGCACTGTTACAATTACACAAATAGTTTAGTAACAGCATGGGAAATGGAACTGTTGCCTTAAATGAATTTCCTCTATATGGTTGATTAGTTTTCAAACAGAATGAATTGTTAATCAGGAAAAGTTTTATGTCCAGCTCTCTTACTTCTAGTCACTTCTTCATATTAGGAATTAAATAAATTTTAAACTAGCAGCAATTTCATCATGTATGCAGTCTGTTGCCTATTCTGAGTTTAATGTAGACATTCATCCTGTATAAAAACTATGTGTGGAGTTTTTTCCCCTCATGGTTGGAGTTTACTGTGCATAGTACCAGTAACTGTGATTTCACTAAAGGTAGATAACATTCTGCTGATTTAAGACAAAAATTTGGAAAAAAAATCAGAAGGCTCTGGCTGAAAAGTTGCTGAGTCCATATCAGAAACAGGCTCAAAACGAATGAATGAATAAACAAGATTTTGATTTCCAAGTTGTCGTGGGGCATATTGTTCTCATTCTCCCTGATGAAAGGTTGGAATGTTGTGTTTAGGGAACTGAACTGTGCCATTTCACTGGTCGCTTGAATTTCAGGGAAAGAGTGTAGATTAGATTTGATTGCCATTGCTTATTGTTACTGGCTCGCTTTCTCTGATAGTCTGGTGTATCAGGTCACCAATTCTGTTTTTCTTTAAGAATTTCCTGGGTTTTTTTCACTGTTTTAGGAATGAGGACAATTATGAAGGAGCCTGGATTCTAGACAAGTATAAAAGTCATGGAATATTGCCTTGCGCTGTTGGAAGAGTATATGAGGTATCTAAAGACTTATGAGAACCTGTACTGATTTGTTTGGAAAAGCTCAAAGGATCATGGTAGAGGATGCTTCAGGCAGATAAGCAAAAAAGGTCTATGCTTAGAACTAGTACTGTTAGTTAATTTAACAAATTCAGTCCCCATTTTTAATTGGAAATATCTTCATGTGTTACTCAATTTGATTTCTTTTTTTTTTAAAAAAACACATTCTAGTAGTATTTTGTATAGCTGAACCTCAGATTCAATTTCAGTTTGATTTTTCTCAGCTATACAGTTTACTGGAGAGTCTTCTTGTGATTATTTAGAGTATTCCTTATTTGTAAAACAGGTGTAAACATAATGATTTGGGGTGGAAGGACATATATGTGTAAGCACATATTAATACTCACTGACACCTACTTCAAGGTAGAAGGATCAAGGAATATATTTTCAGGGTGAACTAAACAGGGTAAGATGTGGATTATTTTCCAGTAATTCAGTGAGATGACATAGAGGCCTGGGACTTAAGGACCAAATGTGGTTGTAGCATGTAAATGAAGTACTGCATGACAAATCAAGAGTAAGATTCTTTCGTTGCAATCACAGGGCCAGAGGGTTAAAAATAATCTGAAATTTATTACTGAAATTTTGAGAAACTAAATGAGAGCACTATCTGTGCTTATCTTGTGAATTTTTTTATTATTTGATTTGACATAATAGGTAAGTGTTTAGAGAGAGATACTATTTGAAGAAGTAGCATTTTATATTTTAATAGTAACTTTAGAACTTGAAAACGGTGGCTTTTAATCATTGCATACATATTAAGATTTGGAACAGGCACTTCATAAACTATTTCATTACCCAGTTATAATGAAGTATAGGAACACAGTACTGATTTCATTGTTTAAGTCTCTTTCTTTCTGACTGTGATGCTCATTGAGTTTTCTTTGTTGTTGAAAGAGGAGTCTTCCTTAGGTTTAGTGGAAACTCAGGGTAGCACATGTTCAGAGTAGCTAAAAGTTATGGGGAGGGCTATTCAATGTAACTTCACTGTGTGTCTCTAGCCAGCTGACATTTTTTCCTGTGGACATGAAATCACAACCAAAAATCTACTGAATACTGTTTATGTAGTTAAAATAGAGCTCCTGTGGGTATATACATAAGCAGGTATCTTGGCTGTTCAGTTAAGTGTTTGGATTTTTGGTTTTGTTCTTTTTTTTTGCACCTGTCAACACCCCTAGGTTTCTTTTCAATATACATTAAAAGTTTCTAGTCTTAATCTAAACTTAATTATTGAATACAGTTTTAAAATCTTTATGTATTATTCCATGAACACGTAAAAATTGGGAATTAAAATCAGTAGGACAAGATAATAAATCCTTGTTAGATAAAGAGACAGATGACTTAAAATATCTATAAGTGGTGGTGTGCATTTGTTTCATTACAACCTAAACACTGTTAAACAAAAATGGTGTTACAATAACTTCTCAATGTACTTATATATTTGTGTGCGCATGTATGCACACACAGTTTTGTACCACTGGGTGTCTCTCTGGCATCTGTTTTGAGACAGAATTAGTAAATTCTTCAGGCTTACACTTGTTCAGTAACTGGTCTGTCACTGTAGGGTTGTAAGCATTTAGTACTACTTGTAAGTACACTGGATATGGGCCCAAAAGTGACAAGATACTTTGGCCAAAAAAAAAAAAAAATCCTGACGGTACTGACAACAGTATCTGTCGATTGATTTAGTATTTATATTATTCAGAAAACAAACCTAAAAGACAGTAACTTAATGCAAGTGTTCACTCAGAATATACTGCTTTCAAATTATGTAACTTAACATAAACCAATAAAAGCATATAAATGGTTTTGGGTGTGTTTTTGTTTTTTTTTGTTGTTTTTTTTTTTTTTCTTTTTTTTCCAGGAAAAATGACAGGTTAAAGTTCTTTTTTTAACCTGTTATCACAGAATCATGAAAGAGCTAACCAGCCTTCTGAGACATACCTGTGACCTCCACCTTCTGGGTGAATGATTTAGCCTTCTGTTTCTGCAGTTTACTCTCTTTCAGCATGCTGCTTGTAGAGCTGTTCCCCTGAGTGGTGGCAGTATAAGTAGTAGTGTCCTTTCTGTCTTTCTGCCCCAAACACTGTCTCAGATCTTAAGTCTTCTATGGCACTGTCATTCTCTGAGAAAGTTTATAGCATGCCTGGTCACTTCTCTCATTTCAGATTAGAAAGCTGACAATAATATACTTTGATAATAATAATAATGAACTTAATAGATATAAAATATTGAGTGCTGCTTGGTTTTCAGCATCCAGTTTTGATACAGTAGAAGTAACTGGCAGAACCTACCACCTGCTTTAAAGATCTGTTGTTAATGAAAAGTTGACAAAAACTATGTGATCGATTAACCATTGGGTTTGTGTACATGATATTTATTAAGTTCATACCAGTACATTCCTGACAGATAGGGTAATAGATAAGTATACACCGAAGTCCAACAAAAATCATGGCACAGTTCCAGCAAAACATGAGCCTGTGTAATTTGGAAGTAAACAGGAAAAATGTGAAAACTAATAGAGGGATTATATATGGCTAGTGTAGGGGATGCAAACCCAGTCAGAACAAAATGGTAAGACTTGCTTTGGTGCCCAGAAAAGGGCACATTACTAAGAAACTTAAGTTAAGGATCTGGAAATTCTTTCTGCTGTGTCCGCAAACTTTTGCACATGAGATTTTTGAAGTTTGTGTTGTATGGTCAGATATCTCAGTGAATACCAAACTTGATTGCTACTCAGTTAGTGTACCCATACTTTGTACAAATAGTTACATGCTTGTAAACTGTGTGTGACTGAAGTTTCCTTTACTGAAATAGTACCTTGGACATACTGAAACAATCTGCTAGAACAGAAGAATTTCTCCCCAGTGTGGGGGGTGAGGCGCTGGCCCAGGGTGCCCAGAGCAGCTGTGGCTGCCCCCTCCCTGGAAGGGTTCAAGGCCAGGTTGGATGGGCTGGGAGCACCCTGGGCTGGGGCAGGGGGTGGCACTGGAGGGGCTGTAAGGTCTCTTCCAACCCGGACTGTTCTATGATCCTATGAAATATTTCAAGCTTTAGACTATTATTCCAGCATTACTTCCATGTGGGATAGAATAGATTGAATTATGGCATGAATTTTTCTGGTTTTCCTCTTCAGTTTTAACTGTTATAATGCCAGGGCTAATTTTTTAGATCAATTTTTTGCAAATGATAAATTTTCAGCAAGTGGATGCTGTCAGCTAGTAGGATATTGTAGTCTGCAAACCTTCAGAGATTCCGGTTGATTAAATGTCCAGTAAAAAAGCAATAATTATATCAGCAGAGGATTCTAATAATAACAAACAACTCTGATTTATCTCCTGCTTAACCATAAAACTGATTTCAACTTGGGTTAAAATGTTGTCAAGAGATGTAAGCTGGAAACTGTAACTGAACACTGGGGAACATGTAACAAAACAAAGCCCCTGAAAGCTGCTGATTTAAAAAAAAAAAAAAAAACCTCCAGTGACCTGTGGTGGCCTGTCTGATTTTCGTGCATTTGTATGTGCACACATTTGAGAATGAAAGAAAACGACATGTAAATGAAGTTTGCAGAGGTTAATGAAGTAGCACTCGTTTTCTTCATGAAAGTGTTTCCTTTCTCTGATTTCTCATTTCTGGCTGCTGCGTAAGCCCTGGTAAGCAGATGCTGTGTTCCATTCTGTCCCTGTTGCTGCGTCTTTGTGTGTTTTGGCTGTGTGCAGTTTGTCGCCTTTCCCAGAGGAAGGCCTGCTGGTCGCTACACCTGCTAACCACCCTGAGCAGGTGGCAAGCCTTATGGGCTTCTTCACCTCCAGGTTCCTGTTCCCCGCCCCCCGAATCTGCTGGAGCTACCTGTTTGGAAGAGGCATCGTTTCAGTTCTGATGCAAATTATTTAAATTACTGCAATTTCAGTTGCTTGGAATTATACTGCATACTAGTGGATAATATGAAATTTGAAGATTCAATAAATCTTCCCAAATCTTGATTATGATGATAGTTACAATATAATGATATATGATATAAAAATGTTAAGAAAGCTATTGCTGATATAAAGACCATGACTGAGTCTCCCCACTAGTAAATGTTGAGCTCTATTATTCTGATTGCTTGTGGATGTGACCACTGACTACTGCACCACTCACAGTTCTAGTACTTTTTAGTAGTGTCCCAGTAGTGGCATGGAAGTGTGCTGCACATGTTTCTGAATGTATAATCTGTGTATTTAATTGCCTTTTTGAGTGATTTTTAGTGATCTTTAGTTGATACATAGTTCTGATGCTTGATAATAAGATGTGACAAAGAGAGAGTGGGAAGATATAATTAGCAGTCTTCATGTAAGAAAAAAGGCTAGTAATGGGGGGGGGGGGAGGGGAAGGCAAACCAAAACCCTACCAAGCTACTATTTCTGTAGTTCATCTAGATTTTGACACAGTATACAGCATTTTACACTGAGGATTTGTTGAAAATTTTGTCTTGTGTTGTAGTGGTCTGTCTTGCTAGAGAGAAATCTCATTGAATGCTTTTCTGCCTCAGCCTAACAGAGAAATCATCAGGACTTCACTTGTTATCTTCGCTTTAGAAGACCAGTAATGAAAGGCCTTCAGAGAAGGATAAAGTAAGGTTTTGATAGAAATTGTTAGACCAGAAATAAACCCATGAAAAAACTAATCAGGGATGAAACTTGTGTTTAAAATAGGTACTAAAGTGGCTGCAGAATTTGAGGGTTTGGTCTTATTCTGAAGTTCATGCTGATTTGAGACTAAGGTAGTCTGACAGGGCACACCCATCCCTGTGTAAATAATGCCAGAAAAACATTATTCTCTAATATGTCTTGATTTAAAATTATATTAATACTTTATATTTATTTCCTTATTCAAGGATCAAAAGCATGGAAAAGGGTTTTTTGCCTTTTGTATGTATTAAGCCAGTGTATTTTCTTTTATTACAACTATTTCAGTGTCAATAACTTTTTGAAATGTTGCGTACAAACTCTTTGAAGTTTGAAGAGGAAATAATCAGTTCATGTCAACAGACACACAAGGTTTTTACATTTGAGTCTGTGGTTCTTGGAATAGACATAGATTCTCTGAAGTTCTAAAACCAGGCCATATAGCATGAACTGTCTGAATGTATTCAGCCAGAGAAGTAGTCAGGATGTGCTGGAGTAACTCTGTGTATTTAAATATAGATGTGTTTGTCTAAATTAATGTCATCTGAGGCTGTATGGCGTAATGCCAAAGATTTTTATAACGGAAAGCATGGTTCAGTCATTACTTGAATCTGTTAGGTGACATGATATTTAAGATCAGACCCATGAAAATAAGTTTGATTAATGGTTGAATAATGAAAATGATTGATAAAAGCCCAAATTAGAGTATGTGGAAATCATATACTGTTAGAGGCAGGCAAGTTTGGATTTGAAATAAACAGAATGAATTGCAATAAAGTGTAGGAGCCACTAACTGAAAAATGGAAACCTCATCGATTAACTGTAAATTGCTTCCAGAAATAAAAGAAGTGGTAAGTGCCTATAACCCATTTACAAAATCCTTTTCTATATTTCTAAGCAGATGTATTTGAGCATCTTTCTCTGCCACACGATGTTGGGAGTAACCAACATTAAAAATGTTGTTCATTCCTGAATAAAAATTGACAAAATTTATGTCCATCAAAGCTAGTATTTGAAAAGCTTGCTTAGTGAGAGTCTACCCTGAGTAGAGCTACATGTGAATTTCTGTAGTTAATTTACTACTGTTTAGTTGTTTTCTTAGAACTAGTTGTTTCAAAGTTGTCACCCCTGATGAATAAATTCCTAACATCTCATTTTTTTTAAACAGTCATGCTAACCTGTTTAAGTAGGCTGCTGCAGAAGTTAATATGATAATACGACCTTGTGAAATTGTTACTGTTTGTGTACTAAATGTTCTTATTTATTACCTGTAACATTTAATTGTGGTTTAAATAAATTTCATATAAACACACTTCCTTTAGAATCTAGAAACAATCCACAATGACATTGTGCAGTTAGCAGAATGAATTACTTACTATTGGTTCTTAGGATAGGAGGATTTCTGTGGCTGATACCTAGCTGATGATAAACAATTTTGCTTTCAGCTGTTACTGTTCTTCATGAACTTCTTTATTTTTGTTTTGGTCTCTGTTAGTAGATTGCAGTGTCTTTGTGTCTACTGCTCTGAATCACAGAAAATACAGGACCTTACAAAAACTCCAGGATTTTGTTTTGTTTAAAGCAGAATTTCCTGTTCTAGTTTAAAATCAAAACCAAACACAAACAAAAAAACCCACAGCATAATACAGCCCATCACTGGAAGCTTGTAGCTTTTGCTTTTTCTCCATTTCCTGCTCCCCTTTGTTTGTGTACTAACTGGTAGCTCTTTTTCTGGAGGCCCCTATGTCACTCTGGGTGTTCACGCCTTTGTTTCTCCGCATAAATGTGTGATGTATAGATAGTGCTTATGTGGACGTCAGCATTTCCAAACCTTGCATGTGTTGCATTGCTAAGCAACTTTTAGCAACACTTATCTCTCGTCCTTATGCCATCTGGAAAAGAGGATTAGACAAGGAAATGTGCCAGAGAGAGACAAAGGCGCATCTAAGAGGTGGCTTAATTACTTAAGAGAATGAGTGACATTAATAGTAGGCAATCATCACAATTGATTGAAAGCAAGCACAATGCCTTTACAGGTAGCGATAAGGAACCCCTGAGAAAGGTTGCATATTTTATAGCCCCTGTCCTTTTTCCTTCCCCAGAAGCAGCAGTACACAGCTGAATCCTACTGCGTGTTTACATACTGTGATGCAAGATAAAGACCCCTATGATTTCAGTACAGAATTTAGATACAATTCCAGTTTCAGTGTTTTTTCTAGACCACCTTCCAGTTGTTACGTGCATTCAGGAGTGCGACTAGCTGACTATTGTTTTAAAGGTCTCTTCTACTAGGCAGAGAAGGTTGTGGAGCTTGAAGCTTGTGTACAGTAGTTACCACCAGTAACCACTGAAGATAGCATCATGTGCTTTAAACTGATGGAAGGAGTAGACCAAAGCAAGTAGTATCAGAAGCATATTTCCAAAGAACTGCTTTGTCTTTGCTTTTATCTTCTAGCTTACAGCTGTAATTGCTAAAGGTGTAAACAAAGTGCTAGAACTTTAGCTGCTAAATCCATCTGGAGTTTCAACTGGGTTCACACACATTTTAAAATTATAGTAGAGCTTTTTTTGGTACCTCTGCTGCTATTGCACAAAAAGGCACATATCCAACTTAATAGAAGAATGGTCACTTCAGATTTTAAATATTCTTATTCTCTAGTTCCTTATGTACTCTAACATTGAAAGAATGTTGTCTGATAGCTAAACAGGATTTAGTACCACATAAAAGAAGTGACATTTATTACTGACTTATTTTACTTCCCATACCTGGACTTTTGACTGTACTTTGACCATTGTCTGAATATTTTCTTACCAGTTTCAACTCAACTCTTTCAGTAATATCGGACAATTCAGACTGATATTCAGTGCCAGCAGTATGCTTCAAGATGTTTTTTACATGTATCTTGGAATAAAAGCACGTAATACAGCGTACAATACTATGCTTTCTTTCAACATCTAAAACTGAAACCAGTCAGTATTCCTGATTGTGACCTTCCTTGTCCTGTCGGCAAATATCTGTGAAATATCTGACAAATTTTCCGATTTCCCCCCCCCAGTATAGGACCACAAAGAGGAATTGGTTGACTCTGCTATAAGTTAAAGTTAGCAAATTGTGACTGTGAACTAATCACCTCAAGATTATACTGTATTGAGCAGGAAAGGGTACACTAGAAAAACTGCATGTTCGTTGTGACGTATTATTAAATTGCATGATTACGTATGCAAGTTTAACCTTGCTAGAAACTTTAATTGGCTCATACCTAAGTTTCTCTGGTATTTGGCCTTGCAACCTTAGGAATCTTTAAACCTTTATGTAAAGGGTGTATCTTGGGTGAAATGCAGTCCAGATTTAAATAACCAAAGCTTTTTGGAATAGAGTTTGATATACTTTTTCACTTTTCACAATCTTTAAAAAGCAAAATAATGTGTTATTCTGTATGTGACAAAGCAGTTATTCATTCTTGCTATGTAATTTAATGCAATGTAATATATGAACTGAAGGACCTCACATAATAGTATCCCACAGTAACAAACCTTGGGCAAGAAATGTTTGATTCTGCCCCTCCTTTCCCCTTTAGAGGAGTGCCACATAATCCTGGTTTGTTGTGTGGTCTCCTATTCAACTTTTCACACAAATGTTGGAAGGGTATTTATAAAAAGCCTTGAGGACCACCCACTTCGCTATTGAAAATTGGCTGAAATAATCCCTTCTTTATAATTTAGCAGTGGTGTTGTCCAAATTTAAAATCCATGTGTATTTCTGTTTAAAGGGGCAGTGGAGAAATGACGTATTCAATGAACGGGGTGCTATAGTTAATTGTTCTGGTGACATCTGTGATGGACTGTGGATCAATGGCTACCCTGCTGGTACGTACGTTCATTATGCTCTCCAGTTATTAACAAGTCTTTGACATAATGCTTTGGTTGTCCCTCTTTTGATTAATATGATCTGACTATAGTCTTTAGCATCCTCTGAGTACTCAGTTCCCCTAGAATGCGTAGTTCTCTGCAGCCAGGGGGATAGCTATTTGACTGAGACTTTTCCTGAAGGGAGTTGTTCATTCAAATTAAATGCAGAACTGCAGTGCGGTATTGAGTGTTCTTGTAATGGATTTTTATTCTTGTGATGAGGGAGAGTTTTGGGGGTTTAATAATGAGAATTTTTAATTTTAAAGTGAAAGTATTTTGGAATTGAAAAATTAGAAAGATAGCAGAAGAAACAAACTTTATATGTGTGTGCATGGCATGCACGTAGGTAAGAGAGTAACTTCAGTTAGTTTAAGTTATGTCATTGGAAATAGTAAAGAATTGCTCAGCAGATTTTAATTTGTTTAAGCAGAAAGCAGAAATGAATCCCATCATAATGCAGAGATATGGCCTCAGTGGCTTAATAGAAAGCTTTTCTAATCCAACTGACTTCTGCATGACGGGACTGTTTACAATCCGAATGCAGCTGATCAAGAAATGCTCATAAGTAAATTTTTGTGTTATCTTGGGTATGAATGTGTCACCTCAAAGGAAGTGATCCAAAAAACCTTAAAATACAGGGTATATGTATGTACTCATGGTGTCAAGCAGCAAAACATATGGAATGGAACTCAGAAGAGCAGATCTGTGCAGCAGTCCATCTTCAGAAAACTTGCGTGTCAGAATCTTTACTGTAGGATGTTAACCCTCTAAGATGGAAACATTACATCAAAAAAATCAGAAGAATATAATTCACTTGATTGATTTATTTTTACCTTTAATATTAGACATACTTGCAATGCTAGGTCATATTTTCTGCACCCAGAATGAAAATTTATTTTTAGAAGCGTTTCCTACAAAGGAATAAGTTTTTGTAGGTTTCATAAGTCTTACAGTAAAGTGTTTCTTTAATCCAGTCAAAGTTGATAGTAATCAAAATTCATAGCTATGTTCAAACCCTATAAAATGTTGTGATGGTCTGTTTCATGATTAGTTAGCAGATGTTAACTTTAACAGGCCCTTTTTTCTGGCACTGTAAGCTGAACAATAAGGAATTGAATAGGTCTTGAAGAAATCGCTACACAATCATGGAAGTATTCTCTTCAGATTACTATAAGGATATATTTGAAGAGAGAAAATTTGTTCCACTCCTGTTCATTGGGTACTTATACTTAATTTTCTCCTTTCTCAGCAGTGCAATCATTTACATTCTGTATTAAGAAAGCATGATATTCCTGTTTATCTCTCAAACTTAATTGTTTTTTAAATCTTTTTAAAATGCATTTTTGTGGAAGTCAAGGTTATTCACAAGACTTCAGTTTAAAGTAAATGTCTAGATAAGTATTTCAGGCGGAACGATAGCTTGGCTTTTGTGAAGAAACTGCCTTCATTAAGAGCAATGAATGTGTATCTTCTTTCTGTCCTTCTGGGAAGACAGGTTTGCTTTACTGTCAGGATTGTGCAAGCCAAGTACTGATGATATTGTTTGTTCTGTCTTTGTAAGACATTCACCTTTGCAAGGATGGGAGACTCTGGATGTCTTGGGCAGCATTTTAACTGTACGTTTCTTGCTAGCTTTCTGTTGGAACTTTGCAACAAATTTACCTAGCAAAGCTTCAAGTGGTTTTCACCTATGTAAGTGAACTGTTCAGTTGCTGAGCTGCATTGTATCACTTCACCTTGAACATATGATTGCTTTCGATGTTCATCATCAATTCATATGTTCAATCCTGATGTAGTTATGTCAGGAAAGAGTCAAGGTCATAATTATTTCCTTCGCTTTCTCCTGTTCCCTGAAATAACGAGAGAATACATTTTACAGGTGCTTAATGAAAGAACCTGCTGTTCTGAGTTCATTCCTAAATAAGCAACATAAAGATAAAATTATAATTAAAAAAAATTTACTTTTTGCAATGTGCCTTTTTGAGGAAGTACAGTAAGAGTGTTTTATACTCTGACTTAAAAACTTTACCCAAACTTGTGACATGGTGACGCAGTAACAGTAGGAGATCATTAATATATAATTGTGACAGACTAACTATTTATTTGTTGTTCTTTTGATGATCAGCTGCAAATAGTTGTGGTCCGGAGGTCTGGGCTGGCATCAGAAACCACCAAATCCCATCAACTTCTGCTACAAACTTACCTGAGTTAATGGAAGAAACCAAGAGGAAAACAGTTAACTCCTGTGTACATAGTGTGGGGAAGAGCCAACTTCATTATGTATTTCCCTTGGTTAATATGCATATGCAGTAATCTAAAACCAGGTAATTAGTTTGCCAACTTGATAAATTACAGCAAATGTATAAGTGTTACACCCTAAAAATAGTAGTAAATACCTTTTTTAGATGCTGAGGTGTCTTCGTGATTGTTTAATACACTTTTATAATATAATATTCTGCCTTTAAAGAGTACACATTGTTTATTGGCCTCCCCTGCCCCCAGCTGGTAGCTTCTGACTATTCAAGGAAGGATCCTCTAGTCAAGGAAATACACCAAGCTCTGTCTACAAAAAATAGGACCATAAAAATCATCCTTCTACACACTGATTTGCTGGTCCTAAATTAATGATTCATTTCTGAAGTATTGATAAATCCACTGAAGTCCCTGGAAACTGCTAAATGTGTTAGTACTTCTAAGAAGCCAAGAACCTTTAAATCTCACTGAAACTTGTTTCAAAAATATCTCACCCAGCATTTGGTTTCTGTATATATTTTTATAGGAACAAATTTCTTTTTTTTTTTTTTTTCCTGTCAAGGATAATAGCTGATGTCAGAATTGTAAATACTCAACAATAATTACTTGAAGTACAGTGCCAGATGAAATAGAATCTACAGTGAAATATTTCTTTGAAGCTGTGAAACTTGATTCTTTGTTTATTAGAGAAGTCACTGCTTTAAATTTGTACAGTGTTTCAACAGAACTTGGAAAACACAAGGAGTAACCTTAAATGAGTTTTATATCCGCATTCATCAGCTATATCTCCAGTTTGACAAAATCTAGTAGACTTAAGTTATTGGAGAGGTAGTTCTCAATATTAGGCTTAATATATGTTTTCTGCTGTCTACCCAGCTGTAAATTTAACATACTGAGTACCTAATGGTTGTCATGGTGAATTTGGTCTTATATTTGGACTTAATTAAAATTTAAAAACCTGTAAGCACAAGCAAAAATGTCAAAACTGTTTTCTTTCACTGAATTTGGGTGTATAAGCTATCTTTTGACATATGTTGCATCTGGAAACTGAGAACTGAAATCTACTGTTTCTGTCATCAGCAATTCTGGATTTGTACTGGCTGATTTACCAGTCCCAAATGGAAATAGAGCCAGAATTGGGATCTGACACCCTGTATGGAGTAGGACAGGCTTCAAGCAGCCAGCATGGTAAGTAAACTGAAAAATTAAAAAGTGTCTTTGCATAGCACTAAAATACCTTGAGTATAAGAAGTTGCCTTTGTAACACAAACAGGCAGTTCTTAAGCGAGGGGTTTTTTTTTGTTTGCTGTTTTTTTGTTTTGGTTTGGTTTGTTTTTTTAGCACAGAGTGCTGAATCTCTCATAATAAATAAAACCAAAGATAAAACTCTCCCTCCTGGGTTTCTTTTCAGTTACTTTAATCGGGCAAAACATACTGGTGTGCAGTAGAATCAAAAGAGTTCAAGTAGTAATGTCTACATTTTTAATTTTACCAAAAATGAAATAGGGCCTAAAATTTGAATCTGGAGTCCAGATTTTCATACCCTTTGCTAATGTTTAGAAATGCTGCCAGTACTCCACATACTTCTAGTAACAGAGTTGACTGGCATATGAAACTGATCCCATAAACGTGGCAGTTACAGTATCTTAAATTGTGGGAGTGCTAGTTTCAGGAAAAATCAGAAATACGCAACCATGTAGGCTTTTATGTCCATGCAAAAGCCATTTTACATTGATATAAAATGTTTAGGCAGGTGGTACAGGCAGAAATTCTAAATTTTGTCCTGACTTAATATTATTCTGTTTCCTGTCATGTCTAACTTGTAATTCTTGGTGAATGAATAGCCCTCAAGCTTTCACCCATGAGTTATTTTGCTGGAGTAACAAGTTCTAATACTGCCAGAAGTTGAGAGTCAAAAAAACAGTTTTCCTTCAGAAACACCCATGACCTGATTTGGCTTATTATATGAAGGTGGCGAATGTGGGTTCTGTTTGTTTATATTGTGAGATTTGAAACATTGGAATTGACAAAGTTTTACTCTGTATCCATAACACTAGAAGACAAAACACTCTTGATCCCCTAATTGCAACAAAGAAGTTTAAGAAAAAAAGAAACAAAATACTCCTGGCCATGTAATAAATTCACAAGAGTTGGTGACTTTGATTTGAAGTTTCACATTTGATGCTTCTGAAGAGACTTTTTGTTGACCACTTGGTAGCTGGGACTGCAAAGGTAACTGTCCTAGCTATGTGTTGCTTTGTGAAATTCATGAAAAACAAGCAGTTGCTTTTGCAATCCATGTGCAAATCCTGTCTGTGACTCATGCAATTTAATCAATTAGAAACAAAATATCTTGTGACTCTCTGGATGGGGTACCATATGTTGCAACAGAAAAAGAGCACTTTCAGAGGAGGCATTTCAGTGTTTTTGGAAAGATGTCATTACTGAGAAAACGTGAAAAATGTGTTTTGCTTTAAATATTAGGACTTCAAAACAAAGCCCAGTAATTCTTTTACCTAGTTCCCTGAGCTAAAGGTAGCTTTGGGGATTCAAGGCATCTGGTTATTACAGGCAGTTGACCATAGTTTTCTAGTCTTCCTTACAGTGTCACCACTTGGGTATGCATGTTTGTGTGCATGTGCATATGTACTTGTGCTGGTTGCTCCATTTTGCTGTGCCCTTTAGGAGGATGTACCTTTAGGTACAAAGGATTGCTTTGTTTTCCAAAATCTTTAAATATTTTTCTGTCCTGTAAAAAGATGGAGCAACGAAGTGACTGTGCAACAGCCATGCACGCATTCATCCCAGACATCCCTCTGTCTCCCAGTGTCCTACCGTAATCATTTTGATTCACACTGGCATGCATAATTTGCAAAAAAATGCTAGTTCATATGAGTCTATTTTGTCCTTTTTCAGTTGTGTTTTATCTCACCTAAATAAATGAAAAACACTTAACACCTGAAGTATTAAAGATAACCCAAATTTAGCAATATTAAATAAATATGTCCCCCTTTTGGTTGGCTTATTCTAAGGGCATTTCTTTACCAGACCTTGGGGTCACACATAAAAATAGTGTTCTTCCTTTTGTGGGACACTGAATCAGAAAGAGTGGAGGTAGAGTTCTGGCACAGTACTTCCAGATGTCATCCTTGCACAAAAATCATAATTCAGGTCAGGTAGATGCTTCATTCCTATTGTACTTTGTAAGTTAGAATAGTAGTAGTGGTAGTATTACTCTGTGTTCTCTACTAAGACAATGCAGGTTCATTTCCGTGTGTTTTTAAACATGAAATCTCTTGTATAATTATGTAATCAGTCTTCTATGAAAGGGAGAAGGTTTATAAGCTCGGGTGCTTTTGGTCACATGTGAGGTCAGAGGAAGCAAATGTGGACTTATGGGACATGGTATTTTTCATTTTTAGACTCTTTTTACTCCCAGGTCAAGTTTGCCCAAAGCAACATGTCAGTTTGTGATGGTCCCCTAATGTGACCATTACTTCAGCAGGACTTCTTGGACCACAGCACTCTAGTCTATTCATTAATTGTCAGCTGCAGCAGAATATGAGGACCCCACTACTTTATTGTCTGAGTTGTATTTAAGAGTACAGTGTTTTTATGGTGCTTGGCTTTTACTTTTGAATTTTTAAATTAAATTTTTCAGTGTTCTGTTGAGATCATGTCCAGAGTGATTTCTTCATAAGATAACATTGTCTGTCTTAGTTTCATGGCAGATAAATAGTGGGACTGTTCAGAGTTAACTAATCATTGATTTCAGTGAATGGATTGTGTGTTTGGTCAGGGACATCAGAATAATTGGTACTGGAAGGCAAGTTAGATGAAGTGAGACAGAGGGGGTAGAAAGAGTGGGGAAAGGTGCCTCAGAGACCAGAAGAAAGGAAGGAGGGAAGAACAAAATGGAAAAAAGAGAAGAATGAACACTTGAAGAGCTATTGAAATATTCTTCTCTCTGGCCATTGCTTTACTACTTTCGCTTCTGATTCTTCTCATCTCTGCTTTTGGAGAGAAATGTTGGCTAACTCTCAAAATACCTTGGGAATAACTTCTGCTGATGGATAAATGATGAGATCCTTGAGGCTTTTATGCACCACTGCCTACAGTATGGATCTAATCATGCAATGACGGAGAATCATCCAGTTTTTATCCTGTATTGATGAACTGTCAGTGAAAGAGTTCCAAGAGGTTTTGTTGTTTAGCAATAACCTATATGTAGCTATTGTTTAAATATGGACGTTTTTCCATATTTCAAATAGGTAATGAGATCCACGCCCCTGAAAGATGCATTAGATGTAATTTGACTTGAAGGCCTCTTCAGTCACTGTTTAGTAACATATATCCTACGCTTACAAATTAATTTCCAGTAGAGTCATGGTGTTGGCCAAACAAGTAAGTTTGCTATCAAATGCAGCTTTTTATGTTGTTTTTTTTTTTTTTTCTTACTGCTAGTGATGTATTTTTACAACACTTTTTGTTTCCTTATTAATTATTTTCCAAGACTCTTTTTAGAAAAGATAATAATAACTGCTTAAAGTAGGATTAGATACAGTACTAAACAAAGTAGTAATGATATCTTGGTTATTTCAGTTTGCTGCGATAATGGAAGCAATGCATGCATGTCAAAGAATGTTCTCCATATTCTTGATGTTATTACAAGACATCACAGTGTAATAAAGCAAGAAATTTCTAGGCACTGTTATCAGTGACATAATGTTGCTAGTTGTCCAGGTTGTTGTAATCCCTCTGTTTTACATTTGCTTCATATCATCACATTTCTGCTGCATCAGCTAAAATATCTTTCATATTTCTGGGCTGAAGCACGTTATTGTGCTACATGTCTTAAATTTAGGGGCATTTACAAGAATGAGTAACAAGCTTTCAATTGAAACCAGGGCTAGGAATGTATGGAGCTTTTCATATTAGGCCAATTCAAATGTATCACTGGCTCATTGTTTAGAGAATTGGAGCTATAAAAGTTCAAGTTTTGGCTTCTACTGTTTCTAGGTCATAAGTGCTTAGCCTTAAGTATTCTGCCATCTAATTCAAGCTTATCATTATTTAATACCTTTTCTTCCTTCACCCACTAAGTCCACTGAGTTCCACTGAAAGTATATCTAATTGAGATACTTTTTTGAAGGTTTGTTGTGCATTAATGGATTCCCTTCTTATTTTACCATTGTGGGTATTCAACCGATAACATTGGCTTTGAATGAGGAGCAAAACACACTTAGGTGAAGTAGTAACTGATAATTTTAGTTGGTCACTTCAGCAGAAAGATCGTAGTTCAAATAGACCTACATTAAAATCAGTGGGTAGGCAGGATACAAGACAAACAAGACTGGATTTCCAAAATTGGAGCTAGTGGAATTGTAGGCAGTTTTTTTAACAGAAAGGAGCTACTCTTCCCATCACAATGTCATAGCTCCAGGCTGTCCTGAGTTTGGCTGGGATAATTTTCTTCTTAGTAGCTGGTGCAGTGCTGTGTTTTGGATTTAGTGCAAGAATAATGTTGATAACACACGGATGTTTTAGTTGTTGCTAAGTAGCGCTTATCCTAAGTTAAAGATTTTTCAGTTTCCCATGCTCTGCCAATGACAGCATGCACACAAAGCTGGGAAGGAGCATGGCCAGGAGAGCTGACCCACACTACCAAAAGGGATATTCCATACTATAGGATGTCATGACCAGTATATAAACTGGGGGAGCTGGCTGGGAGGGGTGGAGCGCTACCTGGGGGCTGGCAGGGCATTGGTCAGCAGGTGCTGAACATTTGCATTGTCCATCCCTTGTCTTGTCAGGATTTATTTCTCTCTCTCTTTTTGCTATTTTCTTTATTATTATTTTATTTTAGTCATTAACCTGTTCTTATCTCAACCCACAAGTTGTACTGCTTGATTTTTTTTTTTTTCTGACTCTCCTCCCCTTTCCACTGTGGGGGGGAGGAGTGAGCGAGCAGCTGCATGGTGTCTAATTGCTGGCTGGGGTTGAACTACAACACAAGCTAGCCAAAAGTTGACTATGCATAAATTTAATCACATAATAAATGCTTTAATGGATTAAAATTGTGCACGTAATTAAATAGTCTGAGGGGAAAAAAAATTTTCTGCTACTTAATGTTTAAAGTGTTTTGTTTGTAATAGTGCTAAAGTTTTCTTCATGGCCTTGATAATTCA